AAAAAAAAAAAAAATCTCCCTTAATGTTTTCTACCAGGTATAGTCCTCCCAAGGGTAACAATTCTCCTGACTTTAACACCATAGATTAGTTTTTGCCTGTCTCTTGAAATTTATGTAAATGGAATCTGACAGAATGTTCTCTGTGTGTCTGGCTTGTTTATTTCAACATTGTATTTGTGAGCTTCAGTCATGTAGAGAGTAGTTGTAGTTGGCTCATTCTTATTGATATATAGTTTTCCATTTTATGAATAGAGCACAATTATTTGTTCATTCCATTGTTGCTGGATATGTGCATTGTTTTCAGTTAGCTACTAAAAAGAGTGCTGTTCTGAACACTAGGGTATGCATGTGTTTCACTTTCGTAGATACTGCCAAATTGTTTTTTCAAGGTGTTTATATAAGTTTGCACTCCCACCAGCAATGTATGAGAATTCCATCTGTTTTTTGGGTTTTTGGCAATGTTTCGTATTCTGTCATTTTCATTTTAGTCATTCTGGTGGATAGAAGAATCATTTTGTGGGTTAGATTTGCATTCCCCTGATGACTACTGTGGTTTAGCACTTATTTATGTATTTATTGGATGTTTNAGGTGTTTATATAAGTTTGCACTCCCACCAGCAATGTATGAGAATTCCATCTGTTTTTTGGGGGGTTTTTGGCAATGTTTCGTATTCTGTCATTTTCATTTTAGTCATTCTGGTGGATAGAAGAATCATTTTGTGGGTTAAATTTGCATTCCCCTGATGACTACTGTGGTTTAGCACTTATTTATGTATTTATTGGATGTTTGGATATTTTCTTTAATGAAATGCTTGTTCAAGTCTTTTATTTATTTTTCTATTAGGCTGTGTGCCTTTTTCTCATTGAAAAAATTTAAAAAATATTCTGCATATTCTTTGTCAGATATATGTGTTGCAAGTATCTTCTGCTCCTTGACTTGCCTTTTGACTCTTAATAGTGTTCTTTTAATGAATAGAAGCTTTCAATTTTAATGTAGTACAGATTATAAGTATTTTCCTCTAGGGTCAGTACATTTTGTGTCTTAAAATTTAAGAATCTTTGTCTATATCAAGGTAATGAAGAAACTATGTAGAGAGTTAAAGATATTTTAAAATTATTTTAAATTATAAAACATTTCAAATAAACTGAGAAGTACAAAAAAATTAAGACATATACATTTTTTTACTTGTGATCTAGATTTAACGTTTCTTATATTTTGCTTCTGATCTTTTTTAGAAATAGATAAAATTATGTGTGCATATGTGTGTGTGTGTATATACAGACACACACATATATAAAAATAAATAATACAGCTAAGGTCTAATGCCCCACCTAGTCTCTTTCTTCCTCATACCTGGCCACTATTTTTGGAGGGTATTATTTTCATTATATTTTATAACTTTTTTCAAATGTAAACATATCATAATACATGGTAGAATTTAAAAATTTACATAAATCATATATATTTGCAGCTTGCTTGTTTTATCTAAACACGTATAGCTATGTAAATTTAGCTATTCATTTTAACCTATATATGGTATTCTGTAGTGAATAAACAGTAGCTCATTGTGAAGGAGAAAGGAAAAGGCATGGAAAACCTGTTAAACGAAATAATAATGGAAAACTTCCCAGGTATAGGGAGAGACATGGACCTTCAGATCCAGGAGGCTCAAGGATCCCCAAATATATTCAACCCATAAAGATACTCTCCAAGTCACATTATAGTCAAACTGGCAAAGCTCAAAGACAAAAAGAGAATCTTAAAAGAAGCAAGAGAGAGGCATCAAGTCACCTGTGAGGGAGCCCCTATCAGACCAACATCAGACTTCTTAACAGAAACTCTATAGACCAGAAGAGAATGGGATGATATGCTCAAAGTACTAAAAGAAAAAAACTGCCAGCCAAGAAACCCAACAAGGCTATCCTTCAGAAATGAGAGAAAAACAGTGTATTTTACAGACAAGCAAAAACTGTGAGAGTTCACCACCACATGACTAGCCCTACAAGAAATCCCGCATCAGGAATCTGCAAAACAATAATTACTACCATGAATACACAAGAAAGAACAAAATCCATCTTGACCCGTAGATCAAAAATCCAAATGAGAAAGAGAAAGGAACTTAACACCACAAAAAACCATAATGACAATGTGATAATGCTCCTGCTTTATTTCTCATTTTAGTAATTTCAGTCTTCTCTATTTTTTCCCTCTTCGCCAGTCTAGAGAAAGGTTTGCAAATTTTGTTAGTCTTTTTAAAGAATCAATTTTGGTTTTGTCGATTTTCTCTATTGTTTTTAATCCCCTATTTCATATATTTCTGTTGTAATCTTTGTTATTTCCTGCTTATATTTGCTTTTGGTTTAATTTGCTCTTCTTTTTCTGTTTTCTTAAGGAAGAAGTTTACATTACTGATTTGACATTTTTCTTGTTTTTAATATAAGTGTTTACAAGTATCAATTTTCATCAAAGCACTGCATGAGCCCTGCATCCTATAAATTGTATGTTGTGCTTTGGTTTTTATCTCAAAGTACTCTCTAATTTCCCTGTGATTTTTCTTTTTACCCATTGTTTAATTAGGAGAATGTTGTTTAATTTCCACACATTTATAAGTTTTCTAAATTTTCTTCTGCTATAGTGGTCAGAAAACATATTTTCTATGATCTTAGTCTTCACAGATGTATCAAGACTTGTTTTGTGGCCAAAAAAAAAAAACCCAAATAAAACAAAACTACATTTTACATTTTGTAATGATAAATATGCCGACTGTCCTCATTTCGTCATCACATAGTAGACAAATACTGATAGTAAACTCTGTACCCCACAAATATGTATAATCGTTTCAATTAAAAAAATTTTTTTGGATGAAAAATACAAAAAAACCCACAATAGCTCATTCATTCATTAATCTTTTACTCGGTTATCTCTCTGTATAGTTTTTAAATATGCTATTATTTACTTGGCCATTTCTTTTTTTGACAGTTAGGGTTTGTGCCCATTTTTACTATTGCAAATGACACTGAAGAGAACATCTTTTTGTATAACTTTTGGTGTTTAAAAAATAATTTTCCCTAGAGAGGCTCTATAACTTAGTTGTTACATGTGTAGATTCTGGAGGCATACTGCCTAGTTTCGTTTCTGATTTTCTATCTTAACTAGTTTTATGAACTTGGGTTTAATTTCTTTGAGCCTCAGTTTCCTTATCTATGAAATGGGACTAATGAGAGTAACTACTCAATGCGGTAATTGTGTGAAATCCTTAGAAAATTTCATAAGAATATTAACTATTATAATTAGACTCCTAGGAGTATAGTTACCAGGACAAAAAAAATATGAACATTTTTAAGGCTGTTGATACATGTTGCCAGATTTTATATGATCCTTTAATTATAATTATGCACTTAGTCCAAAGAATGGCAGATTAAGCCTCATTTTATGTGTCTCTGAAAAATGAGATCGTATAAATAGAGGGGACAGTCTTAGGAATAATTTTATATCAGCTGAGAAAATGAGCAGCTTGATTTCAACTCTGCCATTATGTAGATAGAATAAAGAGTGTCTGAATTTCAGGGAGCAAAGTAGATTCTTTATTATCTGCTTCTTGGTATTGCTGTGGTTGTACAGTTGTGCACTGCATAATTACGTTTTGGTTATATATGATAGTGGTTGGAGGAATAGGCTATACGGTATAGGCTAGGCGTGTAGTAGGTTTGTATAAATATACTCTATGATGTTTGCACAATAACAGAATTGCCTAACAATGCATTTCTCAGAACATTATCTCTATTGTTAAGTGACGCGTGACTGTATTTGTATCTCAAAAATGGGGGTTGGGGCTGTCTGACCTAACAACCACCCCTTTTTTTATGTTGCTTTCTTTTTCAGGGCAAAGAGCAGGAGCATACATTTGTCTTTAGACTGGATCATCCAAAAGCATGCAAGCATTTATGGAAATGTGCTGTGGAGCATCATGCCTTTTTCCGCCTCCGAGGCCCTGTCCAGAAGAGTTCACATCGATCAGGATTTATTCGACTAGGATCACGATTTAGATACAGGTTGATTTTAATATGTGCTTTCTATATCTGTCATTCTTGAATTGAGGTCAAAAACATTAGGCCATCCCTCTTATTTTACAGATGTGAAAAACTAAGTCCTGGAGAAATAAAGTGGTTTGTGAAAGTCTTCCATTGGCCAAAAGAAGAAAGAAAAAAATGATATTGTTATTGGTTTTAATTTCTTGAGTAGATGGGAAAACATAGTAATTGTGTAATGGATTTTACATCCCTTTTGACATTTACTTTATATATTGACCATCTCCCAATTTAAATCCAGGCTTTATGGATTTTTGATCCAACAGCTGGATACCATACAGAGAAAGGCTATCTTGCCCTGACCGGGATAATCTGGGTAATATTTGTGGTCCTTTATAAACCTGAAGCTTTATTCTTATAGAATCCTCGTTGTTGGTCATAAGTTAGAAATGTTTTGGTTTATTGGAGAGTAATTATTGGTTGTGAGTTTTAAGCATGATGTGGAAATCAGTGTGATTTAAAGAGGGAATGGGTCGTACCAATAATGTGGCAAGTTGATTGTGTGGACTTCATGCAAAAGAGCTTCTATTCTACCTACATTTGAAGTGGAGAGGCATTTTTTTTTTTTTTTTTTTTTACAGAATTTAAATGGAAATCAAGGAGAGCAGGACAGTAATTTAAAAAAATATTTCAGGAAAATTATTCTGAAAAATATATCATAATTAGAAAAAGTAACTGAAAATCTTATTGTAATTACACACTTTACGTTGAGTGTGCATGGGGAGTAGAGGGGAGTTCTGTAAAAGCATGGATACTATAAACTTATTTAATATGTCCTTAGGTGATAATGCATGCTTAAGGAAAAAAACCGGTATAACCTGTTGCTTATTTCACAAAAGGCTAAAGAGTGAAAGAAAGATATGGTAAAGAAAGACATCAAGACTAGTAGTAGTGGTTCTTTCAGGATGATTCTTTTAAGGAGAACCTTAACAGAATTTCTCTGAATGTGTATCTGATTACTGTAGCCCTCAAATCTTCTTATTCCTGTATGCCTCATTTATTTTAGTGGGAAAACTGAGTATCAGACCACAAAAACCAATAAAGCAAGAAGATCAACATCCTTTGAAAGAAGGCCCAGCAAACGATATTCTCGACGAACTCTACAAATGAAAGGTGAAGTGCAGCCTTGTTTCAAAGGACTATTATTCCTTGACAACCAACCAAGTGCTGGTATTTTTTTACTTGAGGGGAAGATACCTGGATCTCTTTAGGTCTATTCCAGTCAACTAAAGTACTCTTCTGGCATAAGCAGTTTCATAAGATACACAAGGAAAAATTGCCTATATTGTTAGCTGAGATTAAACTTTACATCAATCCCAATTCAGATGGTATTCTGAAATTGTGTTCAGTTTTTGTATTGACTATTTTAGTGTTTCTGTGGAGCAACATTTTCTCTTCCTTCTTCACTTACAGATCTCGTTCATAATAAAACATCTCTTAAACCCCTTAGGAATTTAAAAAAAAAACCATTGGCATGTGATGAATAAATTTTAAGTTAAAATTATTTTTCCTTTTTCTAATTTATATTTATTTTTGTGGGGTACAGTGTGTTGTTTCAATATGTACATATAGGTAAAAATTATTTCATATTGTGTTATAATACTAAGGACTCTTGTTAAATGTAGTTTTTAAATTTAATCATCAATATGTATCATAAATAGACATTTCCAAATTCATAAATGTTACTTACTGTTTAAGATACTTCAATTATGTAAGAAAAAGCATGGTTTATTTTGACAGATAAATCAAAACTTGTCTTTGATTTCAAGTCTGAATTTGTATTAAAATACAGATTGAATTTTAAGTATATCCTTAATGTCAGGGTTGTCAACAGTTGTCCATAAACAATTGCCATGATGTGATATTTGGCAGTATTGTAAAAAACAAACACTTGATTTCTATTTGTAGTTTTTGGTGTGGCTATAAATTAAATGATATATAGCTATAAATGAAACTGTTTCAATTCGTGATGGTTTAAAACCTTTAAGTTACCTCTTGTTTTCCGCTGACAGCAATTCAGGATTGGTCATTTCACTATAGGAGGTTTGCAGATGGTTCTGTTTTAAAGGAAGGGATGTATGCTTATTTAATTGCTTTATTTAAAAATGCAAATAATTGCTGTTATTTCCTTTAATAGTCTGAGCCCCAGAACACTTTTGTGAACTGAAGGTTTTTAAATCTATGGTTAGGAAACATGGCTTATAAAGCAATTAATTAGTCAAAGTTTTACTTTGATGAATAGTGAAACAATTTATCATATAAGATGAGACTAATGAGATGTTATCTTTTTTCTTCTGTCAGCAAGTATAACAAAACCTGAGGAACTCAGGTGAGTAATGTCTTGCAATTTAGGAATTGATATAGATTGTTTTTGAATTTATGTAGTTGCTGTCATTAATTTTTAAAAAATATGTATTTTGGGGTTGTTTTTTTTTGTGACCGGTAAGGGGATCGGAATCCTTGGTTTGGTGTCGCCCGCACTGCACTCAGCCAGTGAGCGCACCGGCCATCCCTATATAGGATCCGAACCCGCGGCGGGAGCGCCACTGCGCTCCCTGCGCCACTCTCCCGAGTGAGCCACGGGGTGGGCCCAAAAAAATATTTTTTGAAGACATGTCAAAGTATCAAGTTGAACCTAGGCATTGGGGATGCAGCAGGGAACAAATAAACATGTAATAACTGATAAAACTGACATGAAGAAAAATAACACAATTTAAAGAAACAGTGGGATGAGGGTGGATATGCTATTCATAATGAGAATGACTGACATTTGTTATTTTCAAGTGACAGGATATAAAGATGAATAAATTATGGTTCTTGCACACAAGGAGCTCAAAGAACAAAGGCTGATTTATAAATAAGCAATTTTTTTTTTTGTCTTTTTTTTTTTTTTCGTGTCCGGCAACGGACTGCAACCCTCAGTGTCGCGCCCGCACCGGACCGGGACCGGCAACAGGATCGCAACCCTCGGTGCTGCGCCCACCCCTCGCTCAGCCAGTGAGCAGGAACCGGTCGGTATGTGGGATCCGACCCCTCGGCGGGAGCGCCACCACGCTTCCCAAGCGGCGCACTGTAGCAGTGCGCCACCGGGTCGGCCCTAAATAAGCAATTTTATTCCTGGGATAAATCCCACCTGGTCGTGGTGTGTTATCCTTTTTTATTTTATATTGCTGGATTTGATTTGCTAGTATTTTGTTTTGGATTTGTTTGTCTATATTTATCAGAGATATTGGTCTGTAGTTTTCTGGTAATGTCTTTGTCTGGTTTTGTTATCAGTGATACTTGCTTCACAGAATGAGTTGGTAAATGTTCCTTCCTCTTTTGTTTTTTGGGAAAATTTGTAAAGAATCGTATGAATTCTTCTTTAAATGTATGGTCAGTTTTACCATTAAAGCCATCTGCCTGGACTTTCTCGATATGAAGTTTTAAAATTTTTAATTCAGTCTTGTTATAGATCTATTCAGATTTTCTTTTTCATCTTGAATCACTTTGAGATTTTGTGTCTTTCTAGAATTTGTCCATTTTATGTAAGTGATCTAATTTGTTGGTGTATAGTTTGTATTGGTCCCCTTTCCTTTTTATTTCTATAAGGTTAGTAGTGATGTACGCTTATTCGTTTCTGATTTTAGTGATTTGAATTTTTCTTTTTTCCACTTGTTCAGTTTAGCTAAATGTCTGTCAGTTTATTGGCCTTTTCAAATAGAACCAGCTTTTGCTTTCATTGATTTTTCTATTTTTTGATTTTATTAATTTTTGCTCTAATCTATGTTATTACCTTCCTTCTACTTGCTTTAGGTTTGGTTTGCTCGTTTTCTGGTATCTAAGGTGGAAGATTAGGTTATTTACTTGAGATCTTTATTTTATTTTTTGGTGGCCCGCTGGTACAGGGATCCAAACCTTTGACCTTGGTGTTATAATACCACTCTCTAACCAACTGATCTAACTGCTGGTCTTAGATCTTTATTCTATTTTAACATTGTATTTACAGCTGTAAATTTCCTTTCAAGCACTGCTTTAGTTACATTCAAAAGGTTTTGGTATGTTGTGTTTTTATTTTTTGTTCATCCCAAATTATTTTCTGATTTCTCTTGTGATTTGTTCTTTGACCTGTTGGTTACTTAGGAGCGTGTTGCTGAATATTTTATTCTTTCTTCTGTGTTCTTCTAATTCTGTTCCATGATAGTTGTAGAACATACTTTGTATGACTTTGATTCCTTTAAATTTATTGAGAATTGTTTTGTGGCCTACCATGTGATTCATCCTGGAAAATGGTCTGTGTGTACTTGAAAAAAATGTATTCTGCTGTTTTTGAGTGGAGTGTTCTATAGATGTTCTGTTAGGTCTAGTTAGTTCAAGTCTTCTATTTCACTATTCATCTTTTTCCTAGTTTTATCTATTATTAACAGTAGGCTATTGGAGTCTACAAGTATTGTTATTCAGTTTTCTGTTTCTTCCTTCAGTTCTTCAAGTTTTTGTTTCATGTATGTTGGGGATTTTTATGTAAAAATATGTTTATAATTGTTTTGTTTTGTGTGTATGTCTGGCCGGTTTTAGGATTTGAACCTGTGACCTTGCTGTTACAAGGCTGTGCTCTAACCAGCTGAGCTAACTGGCCAGCCCCTGTAATTGTTGTATTATCCATTTATCGTGATAAAATGTTCTTCTTTATCTCTAGTACCTTTTTTTTGTTTTAAAGTCTGTTTTGTGTGATATAAGTATTGCTAGCCCAATTTTCTTATGGTTGTTTTTGCATGTTATAACTTTTTTAAAAATCAAATTTGGGAAGTTTCTTCAAATACTCTATGCCCCTTTCTTTTGTTCTCTCCTTGTGCAACTCCCATTACATGTTATTACACTTGATGGTGTCCCACAGGCCTCCGAGTCTCTGTTCATTTTTCTCCCTCCCTCCCTCCCTCCCTCCCTCTCTCCCTCCCTCCCTCTCTCTCCCTTCCTCCCCCCTAATTTTTCTCAGACTAAATAATCTCACTTGATCTATTTTCAAGTTTACTGATTCTTTTTCCTGCTCAGATCTGCTGTGGAACCCGTAGAGAATTTTTCGTTTCAGTTACTATATTTTCAACTCCAGAATTTCTACTTGATTCTTTTTTATAATTTCTGTTTGTGTACTGATGCTCTCTATTTGGTGAGACATTGTTTGCATACTTTCCTTTATTTCTTTAGCTATGGTTTCCTTAGTTCTTGAACATGTTTAAAATATCTGATTTAGCCTGGCCAGTTAGCTCAGTGGTTAGAGTGCAGTCTTTTAACACCAAGGTCATGGGTTTGGAACCCCTTGCCAGCCCGCCACCAAGAAAAAAAAAAAAAAAGAATCAAAATTGCTGATTTAAAGTCTAGAGAGCTGGAGGAGTATTAGGTCCATTTTCTTGGCTTCACCAAACAGTAGAGCTGCCACCACCACATTAAGTTTGGGCAGAGAAGAACAGGGGAGCAGATTATGGCTCAGATACCACAGACTCAGCTCTTACTAAAATTTAGTAAAAGTTTTTGAATAAATGTTTCTGTACTTGATGTATGCCTCTGTGATAATTTCAGAGACTTTTAATGATTTTTTAACAATAATTTTCACCAAATAAGTGTTTCTTTTGCTGGGGAGAAGGTCTGCTTTTGTGTTCAAGTGCCCATATTGAAAGTCTTGCTTCTGATGACTCCATTAATTTTAATAGTGTATACAATGTATAGTCACATGTAATGCTTCACAGCAATTGGCATATATTAGAGTCTTCTGGAATACCGGTTAAAGAATCAGATTTAGATCATACCCACAAATCTAGTTTTTTAAAAAATTTGTGTGTACTCCTATATGGCAGATGTATGACTAGAGCTTTTTCAAAAGAAGTTGGTCTCAAGTGACAGAACTATTGCATAAAGGGAAAAAAAAAAAGGAGTTGTTTTTAGGTACTGAGTATGGTGAGCCTCACCTTGAGATGTCCTATTCAGTTTTTTTCACTTAGAAAGCTATTAAAGCCAGGATGTGATTAGTGATTCACTGCAAAAGCATCTGCTTTTTGAACAAGGACTTTCCATAAGTTTCTATAGCTATCAGTAGAGCAAATGAACAGAGCAGGGAGAAAATGAGGGATTCTCTCCATCATGAAATTTTCATTAGGTGAAAAACAAAATTATGTACCTTTTCTGGGCTGTACAGCTTTATTTTCCTTGGAGTTATTCATAAGAAAAATTTTGGAGAAATATTAGAGGTGTTCTGTGTTTTTTAAGCTATTATGTTTATTTAATGGATCATGTCTTGCTTTCCTGAAAGGGAGACTGGGACAGAATACTAGAGCTTAAAATCAGGAATGAGTACCTGGTGAAGTAAGCAAAAATGTAAACTAAGTATTCAGGCAGTGATGTGTAGTTGAAAAATACAGCTTCTATAAAAGGTTCTCCTTTAAGATATTCTGAAATACACATTTCTGAACAAAAAGTAAGTATGAATATATAGTTTTTTTCCTTAGAATTAAGATAATTTAGGGGCCGGCCCGGTGGCGTACTGCTACAGTGTGCTGCTTGGGAGCGCAGTGGCGCTCCCACCAAGGGTTCGGATCCCACATACAGACCGGTTCCTGCTCACTGGCTGAGCGAGGTGCGGGAGCAACACCGAGGGTTGCGATCCCGTTGCTGGTCCCGGTCCGGTATGGGCGCGACACTGAGGGTTGCGATCCGTTGCCGGACATGAAAAAAGACAAAAAGGAAAAAAAAAAAGAATTAAGATAATTTAACTTTAATGGCTAAATTTTATTGTGTCTTCATTAGTAATGCTTCTGGGTCTGGAAAACAGCAGAAATGGGATACTTAAGAAATGATACTTTCTTGTTGTTGAAGAATAGGCTTTTAGAAATGCAATGCAGAGCAGGACCCAACTCTCCTGAAGGTTATTGAGTGCCCCTCATAACAGTGCATGAGAGAACCTGAGCTTGGACCAGCATGTGTACCCTTTCACTCTTGCCCTTGCAGTTCTGTTTGCATGAACGGTTTTGTTCCAGTGAACCGTTTGAAAAGGCACAACTATTTGACCTAAGAAGACTCTTGACTTCGTACTTTGCAGTTTTGTAAAATGCCTATTTGAGTAAGAGGTTTTTAAATGACTGATGTCAGTCATTTTCTTTGTACTATTTTGTCTGCTAACTACTTCCTTGTAAGTCTTGATTAATATAAAATATCTTAAGAAGAGGTGACATTTTAAAGAATAGTTGTCATTTCAGTACTAGTATATTTTATACAGGCTCAATGGGCAGTCTTGAAGACAGGAAAGAGAGGAATAGAAGAAAAGCAAAAGGGGGATCAGTTATTGCATTTAGTCTCTTAAAGGGGGAAACTTGGAC